ACTTTAGTAAAAGCATTGTCTTTACTCATCTTGATTCCTTGCTTTTGAATACCTTCGTTTGCTCAAATCCAATGGGATCAACTTACCAAATTAATCTATACTTAGTTAATTTAAAAAACAAATACCGGAAGTTCCAAGATTTATAAAATATAGAAACCCTAAGTTTGATTCTTCTCTCCTTCTATGGTTCATCGTTAATCTAAGTTCTTGTAGTAGTTTATGGGAACAATTATCAACCATAAACCTCTCTAACAATCATGGTTGAAAGAGGTTATGAAACTTACCTTGAATTATGAAACCTTAGGTTAGTGGAGAGACCTTGTTCTTGAGTTCTTGTTGAGAATCTAGCGATCTTGAGATTGGATACTGTTAGAATTGATGTTTGGAAGTAGTATTCTAATGTTAATCGCATTGAAAACTCACCTTAGGTAGTATGAGAACCCTTGAATGACTTGATGATGAGATGGGAGGTTTAATCTTTAAAGAATGAGGCTATTCTCTCTCTCCCCGTCCCTTTTATTTCAATTTCACGCCTTCGACGTCACGGTTTGTGCCCAGCACCACCCAAAATGCCCCAAAATTTTTACTTCTGGTTTTGGCATTTTGATTCGTGCCTGGCGCCCCCCCTGGGCGCCCAAAGTGCGGCCCATTTTTCTGACAGGATAGTCTTTAGTAAAACATCTATAACTTTTTATAGGAATATTGAAATTATGAACGGGTTGAAGTGTTAGAAACTAGACTTCAAGGGCTTTCTTTTGGTATATAGTTCAAATCTCAACTCATTATATGTTGATAGATATGCTCATTGAAACTTAGGTCATGTGCGGCTAATTAAGGTCATTTTTATCCCTTAAATAACTCTTGGTGGATTCCGATTTACTCCTCTCCTCTTATAGCCATACATTCAACCTTCTAAACATAAGATTTATGTATTTTATACCTTCATAACTTTCCACGCATCTTTGTATCCTACTTGGAGCTTGAGCGAGAACATAATTCTTAGCAAAGCTTTTTTTTCCCGGGCTTTACAAATCTGAATCATTATAATGACATACTAATGTTTCGAATTAAATTCTAATATTGATGCATGTAGAGATCAGAAATAAGTAAATAACTTAAAACCGAACATTGTTGAAACTGATAGTATTCGGTAGGATTTATAGTTATTCGTTAGTTATGGTATATAAACTTTAACTTCCTTGGTTTGCCATTAAATTCAAATGGAAACTTATAGATTGTCAATGATATATATAAATATAATTAAAAAAGCAAAAATAAAAAAATTTAAATAAGACAAATTGATTAAAAAAAGGAAACTTTTGCGGTGCTGAGGCAGGCGAGATGTGTGTGGATGAGGGTCGGGTGAATGCGGGTGAAAATGCTATGAAGGGCGGGCAGATTGAAATTTTGTGGGTTAAGACAACACGCCCTACACCACCCCGCATCGTTTGCCATCTCTAAGCAAGAGAAACAGAAATATTTAGAGACAAACTGCAATAAATTATACTCAATGACCTTGAAAATGAATTGTTTTAATTTTTTGATATACGCTTGCCCCATGTGCAAATTTTTAAAGTAAAAAATCAAGAAAAACACCCAAAGTATCCTATTTGTACAAATCAACCGACAAACTATTTATAAAGACAAACTTTAGCCCATTGAGCTAAAATATATATGTTCATAAAATTTGTATAGAGTTACATTAAAATGCGAATATACAGTAAGAAAACATATGCATTACTAATAATTTGTTCATAAATTTTTATACAGGTTGTTCGCTATATTCTATAAGTTCAGCTCATGAGCTATTGTTTGACATGTATTTCGTTCTTGCCCATATCTTGTACATTTCATCGTTTGATTTTTACTCTCTTAAAATTGCATAATCACAATTAGTAAATATAAATTACCTGGCTGAAGTTATTGCATAAAAACGTGAATATATAGTGGGAAAAGATATGCATTATGCAACAGGTGTACCTTAGTCCACTGTACTAAAGTACATAAAATTTTATACAATTTGTTTGGTTTGTTCTATAAGTTCAACTAATTGGTTATTGTTTGACGCAAAATTTTCTTCGTTTCTTTACCTTACCTAACTGCATTAAGGTAGTAAAAAAATATATGTACTACGTAAAATGAATTTTAGCCCAATAAAAGTCTACAAATTAGATTGTTTTTTTAAAAATCTTTAGCAGTTGTATTTCAATCCTCTAAAACAAACTCACTGTTATATAAGGGGAAGCCAAAATAAGAAGTAAAAAGAGAGTAGAACATGACTATAGCTTGGAGCAAATAACCAAAAATGGTCCTTTCATGTATGGAAGTAGGTTTAAAATAATTTTTTAAATATACGTTTGAGCAGTTTTAGTCCCTTAAATTTGGTAAAAGTCAATATTTTTGATCCGCGTCAATTTGTAGCAAACTATGGATGTTAATTTTTAACGAAAATTATAAAAGGAAAAATATTTACGGGCATCTCGGACTTGGAGGTGTAGCATTTGTAATTTTGTGCTATTCTTGATTTATTTTTGGCGTCAGTGCAATTTCTCATACTTTGATTTACTCATGGAGTGTGGTGCAATTTTTCAGATTTGATGGAGACTATAAGATGGGGATCAAACCCTCACCAACAAAGTAAAAGGTTTGTAACCAACCAACGAGACCACTAAAATTTTTCGGTTTAACGGGATTTCCTGTAAGATCTCATTAAATTTTTCTTTCATACTTTTTGTTAAACTAGTCTTAGGGTACGCGCTTTGTGCGTGTTTCCTATATCAATAAATATACCGTCTTAAAGAATTAAAATAAGTAGCATTAAACAAAGTGTTTGAGATACAAAAAAAATGAGTTCCTAAACTTGATAGAATGTTAATTTCACTTTAACTAATTCAATTAAAAAAGAAAATATGCATCATAGAAGTCCTTAAAATTATGTGAGATATCTTGTAAAAATTATTATTATTATTCTGTATCTAATATCAAAAACAAAAAAGTAACACAAAACTTACTTACCACAACCGATCAAAGATTTGGCAAATAGCACGAATTTAAAATATAATCTCTTGGTCTTTTTGAGATTTGGGAGTGATAGATTTGCCCTATAGCTCTTAGAAAAAAGGTACGTTAGAATAAAGTCTAAGAATGATTAATATTAAATTAATATTTTACAACAAATAACTAAATATATTAAAAATATATAGGGAGTTCAATTTGTAAGAATATTTACAAAATAATAATAATAATAATAATAATAATAATAATAATAATAATAATAATAATTGATGACAAATCATATATAATATAACTTTTCTTCTACTGTTTCATCTTTATTGTTTCAAGTTTGTATTTTTATCGATTTGACTCTTAATATTTCACAATAACCGATCTTACTTTATTTTTTATTCTTTCACCGTTAATGCACTTCTTATGGAACAAATATATGAATGCTAGAAGATTTTTTTCATTTGAAAAATACTTTTACTTATATGATAATTTTGGG